AATGTTTGGCCCAAGCAAATATTTAATTAATTGGCCCATGACCAATTAATTTTCCTATGTTTTTTGAACTCGTAAAACGAACAGGCACAACCTTCTGCTTCTTCTTCAACCATTGCAACCCTCCATGAATGGATCTCTACCGCCTATAAATAAAAACAGAATCTGGCCAATTCTGTACTGAATTTAATTGGCAATTAAGAGATAGTTCTTCATATTTTTCTTTTTCTTCGTCAAAGTTCCGTTCGTTGTTCAAGTTCGCCGTGAGTCGAATATTCGTGCAAATATTTGACAACAGATCATTGTACCTTGGGAGACTACCGGGAAGAGACTGTGCACCGTTGACAGCCCGGAAATATTGTCTTAAGGGAATTGCTTTGGCAAGCCTCAATCGTTCTTTGTGTTTTTAACAATTCCTCTTTTCGACAAACAAGTAAGTATTTCCGTTTACGCAGATTGTTATTTATAATTATACCAACAGTATATGCAGCCACTCATCCGAAAATTGGTCCAAAACACTAATTAACTTGATTGTATCCATCTCTACCGTACGAAACTCGCTCTATGATATTATTCACAGATACTCTAGGAACAAATATATGATTGTACTAATATCAAACATTCTTTGCATCCCGGTGATTTTTGGTTGCCATTGTTAAGTTTGTTATGTCGTTTATAATTTTATGGTCGGAATCGTGATCGCGCATTTCCACAATTGTTACTTTGTTTATAAGTTTATTAGAGAAAACAAAAATATTGTAACTTTACGAATTTTAATTGGAGAGATTTTAATTTAGGTTCAATTGTTTTTAGAATAACTTGAAAAGAACCATGTTACGTAATTTGTAAGCATACAGCTCATGAGTAAAGTAAACAATCGTCTGAATTATTTTCTATGAGTTTCGACAATTAAAACATTAAATAGACGTGAATCATGTGATATGCCAGGCTTGTATTGTTAATTATATACTTTTCGTGGGAAGCAATTATTGGAATTATTTTTCTAGTGATAGATATGCCAGGCTTGTATAGTCAATTATATATACTTCATGCGGTAAGCAGTTATTACTTATTAGAATTATTTTCTGTGTTGCAATAATTGAACCAAGTAGACGTAAATTATATAGTTGGTAAAGAGTTTACTGAATTTATTAGCACCCATTGTTTTATCGAAAGGCTAATCAACTTCAGGTATTATAAATATGGCACTTTAGAAATAAGCTCATTAATGGGTATTTATTTGTAAAGAGGTACAGATAATAAATTCTTTTATAAAAAAATTCACACATGGTTTAGAGATTTGTAAAAGACTAAAATCGCCCCTCACATTTTAATATGCTCCAATTTCATCATTTAATTTAATCTAACCTCAATTTGACCCAAACATTACAAACTATTCAATTTTGACCGCTGATCTCCGGCGTTGAATTTTTTTTTTCCTTCCTAATTTTTCCGCCACCGGTTTCCACCGATGCACCGCCGGTCTCAGGTGTTGACTTTTTCATATTTTTTTTTTTGAATTTTTTTTCTTTAACATCTTTTTGCCCCCCGTTTAAACAACAATATTGCTGTGGTTGACAGTAATATTGACAATATTATTGTTAAACACAGTAAAAGTAACTATACTATAGTTTAACACATTAATATTTATATATTAATCTCTAGCACTAGGGGTGTGCGCGGGCCATAAACCCGCGGGTTCTATCAAAACCCGCCTTCGTCCCGTCTAACAACGGTTCTAGATTTTGAAGAACCAAACTTGTGGGTTTTCAACAGGTTTACCATAGGCGGGTCCATGGTGGATTTATAGTAGGACCCAACATTTACGGGTCGAAACCCATTATCGTCTAAACCATTTTTTTTTGTTAATAGTTTATAAGTTTTACGCGAGAATAATTTCCATTTTATCTTTTTTTTCAAAATTGAATTTTTGTGGTCAAAATTGATTAAATTGGGGTTACAATTAAGAATTGAGTGTAAATGGTTGGAGGTAATTTTGTCATATACATTAATGTTTCCTTTATTTATAATACATATTAAAGGGATGGACTTATTGGCGAAATAAATATAGCCCCTAAACCTAGAATAATAAAGATGGTTAGTCAGGGACTTATGCACAAAAACCCCTTATAATAGGCCATGAGCCCCTCAAATGAAACTTAATTTGGACTAAATGACAAGTTCAAATCCAATATTTTAATTAGATCCTTAGTTTGAAATAATATATGAGCCACATCCTTAATTTTTTTATCCCTATCTTACCCTTATACTCTAAATCCTATAACATATACATTCACGTTCAATTTAGATTTATTTTTCGTCTTTTTGTTTTCTCTTTGTCTCACACATTCTATCTTTCTTTCCATCTTTCTCTCACACGTTCTCTCTATTATCTCTCATGTTTTCTCTCTATCTCCATTTCTCACTCGTTTTTTTTTTCTTTCTCATCTATATATATATCTCTTTTTTTCTTCAGTAATAGCACGAAGGCCGCCGCCAGCGGCAACAGAGGGTGCAGGAGCAGGGGCGGTGGATCGAGGGTGTTGTGGTGGAGGCGGCGATGGCTGGCGCTATCGTAGTGGAGGCGGTGAAGGCAGGGGGCTGTACGGGCGGGGGGCTGTGATTATAGTCATGATGTTATGGAAAATATGTTTTGACTAATTAATTGGATTTGATATTCTTACGTATTAAGAGATTTTTGCTTGGTTTTGGTTCAAATGGCAGATTAGGTTTTTCCAATGTTGGTAGGTGATTACGGTCGCGAACGCTGCCATCGTTGGTTGCTAGGGTTGGTGGCGGCTGCGTTGGCTGCTACGGTTGGCGAAGGCTGGGAGATTTTGGGGGCTAGGGTTTGATAGTAAAGCATATTACACGATAGTATACTATTGTACACCACTACACCGTAGTATATTATAGTACATCGTAGTATACTATAATTTACTACAGACAAATTGAAAAATATGTAAATCGAAAAAAAAAATAGCATGTTTTTTTTGTTTTTTTTGGCGTAATTTTCAATATTATGTAAAAAAAAAGGGAAAAAAAGAAGTTTTTATAATTGTGTATAAAATGTTAAAATGAACAAAAAAAAAAAGAAGACAGACGGATATTCTGAAGATAAAAAAAAGTTAAAAAGTGTTAGATGGAAATATGAAAATATTAAATGCATAATAAATAAAGTGCTAAATGCAATTTGTAATTTACTTAGTGCATATTTCTAATTTGTGAGTGGAGGGGCATTTTCGCAATGAATTTTATGAAGAATGTGAAGCAAAAGTTTAGTTAAACTTGTCACTTAATTCAAATAAGTATTGTCACTAGAGACATATATCCTAATACCCCTTATAAATATAAATATTATCCTCTTTATAATGTATTTTTTTAGCCTATAAACCCCTGACAATTAAGTTTTAGGGTGTAGTTTAATAAATTGAATAATAGAGGATTTTTTTTCTAATGAGTTAAAATATGAAGTTTCTTAACAGTTAGTGAAGACAAATGAGTGCCGAATGCAATAAACCCTTGGTGAAATCCACCTAAATTATTGACTAAATAAATCCATGACCCTTGCTATAAATCTCATTCTCCATTCAAAATTCACTTAGTAGGGTTAGTAATCGAGCCATGTGAACCGAGTTCGGGTTGCTCAAGCTCGCATACTATCGGGTCTCGTTACTATAGGCTCAAGCTCATATACCATCGAACCTTATTAGTATAGGCTCAAACTCGACTCATGTATTTTTTTAGATTTCAAATTTATATGGGGCCTTATTACTATAAAACTGTACTGAGTAATTTTTTTTTTATTTTATGAAAAAACAAGTGATAAACAAGATTTACACCCATTTAAAGCCAATCCAAAGAAACCCTATATAATTTTGCAAGTTATTGGGAAAATTTGGAAATTAACAAGACTGAAAGAAGTAAAAGGAAAAAAAAATTAGTATCTCTTATTATTGGAAACGTTTTATATTTTCAAATTAGGGTGATAAATTTCAGCAATTGAGTTTGGGTGAGTATCTTTCATTTGATTCCTGTTTTGCATATTGTCACCACCACCACTTATTTTTTTTTTTAGTTTTGATTTTCTTTTTTCAAAATAGAATTAATGATATTGAAGGGTCTATAATTTCTTTATCTACTGGGCCACGAGCTCAATATTGAAGACCACTACCACCGATGCCCAATCACCTTCAGGTTATGGCCCGACTATCTCAATTAAGGTATAAATAAATGTTTTAACTCATTCCTTAAGGTACGTCCTATTATCTGAACAAAACATGTATACTTTGGACTATTTCTACTGTGTGCACGTCTGACTTGAGCGTCGAAGGAGTTTCCGCCGGACCAACCCCGGGCTTAGCTTACGTGTTCTATGATCGCATGTATCTCAAGGTCATCAAACTCGTGAGGTAGGGATCCACTTTACTCTTCCAGCTCATCCTACTTCAACTCTCTAAGGTGATCTAACACTAGCATGATCAAGAACAATCTTATACAGTTGTAATTTGTTTGTTGAGCCATATCATTAAAATAATAAATATTATTATATATTTTATAATGTCGGACCTTATTCGGGTTGAGCCGTAGTAGACTCAAATTCGACTCATAAATAAATTGGATCTAGTAAAATGACTACAAGTCAGTATGATTCACTAAAAAATAGGCTCGGCTCAAATAAAATTAGGTCGAACCATCGAGCTTCGGTTAGGCCCGACTCAATTACAATTTTAATTAAATTTCCAAAAAGTCCGAAATTCTCAAAACCAAATATATTTTGCAATTTCAAAAATTCGCGCTTTCATCTCCTTTTACGATTTCAATTTCTTTATTTCGAAATTCACCATCCAAACAGAGCCTTGCAAAAGTGGATTTTATGCTTCTAGTGTTTTTCATCAATCTGCAGAACTATAGGCTATTGCTATCTAAAAAACATAAAAAATAAAAGGCTATCAAGTGGTAAGATTAGAGCCATGTGATATTTATTTCTTTATAAGTATGGCGCATGCATCTAAACAAATATTTGATGAGTAATAAATCATATCGCAACTATCTTGTACGAGTTGGAATAATATAATCAACAAGTAGACTTTTTAAAATTTATATATCCTTTTTAAGGCCAATATGGTTATAAATTAAGTACACAATGATTTTTTAATTTTTTTTTATTATTTTATTTTACGTATATTATATGTGCATGTTGGTGGAACCTAGGAACTCCAGAGTAGCGATCGACTATATAAAGGATAGAAGGTATCAGCATTTTTCTTACAAAACCATTTCTTAATTAAAATACGAGTTGATTCAATTAATCGGGAATTCTAAAAGATTTATGGGGCTGATAGGGAAACTGGTTTCTGGAACAAACATAAAATCGGACGGAGATGTGTTCCACGAGATCTTCAGAGAGAGGCCGCACCATGTACCGGACATGAGCCCCGATCTCGTTCAAAACTGTGACTTACATGAAGGTCAGTGGGGAACCGTCGGATCTGTCATCTTCTGGAACTACACCCATGGTAATTAATTAATTAATAACGCATTCCCTTACTTTAATTAATTCACTTTCTATAGTCTCATAATTGTCGTGTTTTCGATTAAAAAATTAAATACACAAGTTTGAAATGATTTTGTATATGTATTATCAGATGGTAAAGAGTGTGTGGCGAAAGACATAATTGAAGCGATAGATGAGGAGAAGAGGTTGGTGACTTTCAATATGGTTGAAGGAGATCTTATGGAGCTATACAAGACATTCAAAGCAACTGTTCATGTTGACACCGTCGGGGAAGACAACCTCGTCACTTGGACTTTTGATTACGAGAAACTGAACGAGGATGTTACCGAACCACACACTCTCATGGACTTGTGCATTAAGATGACTAAAGATATTGAGTCCCACCACCTCACTAAAGCCTAGTATTTATAAAATTAACAGTAATATTGTTATGAAGTGTGTGTGTGTTTTTTTTTTTATGTTATGTTGAAGTTTATCTGTTTATGCACTTGGGATGTGAATGCATTAGTGTTGGTGTGATCTTGCGTTAGGGCTTTATGTACTTCGTGATGTCATCAATAAAGGAGTCTATTCATCACTCCACAATTACCTATTTTTGATTGACTTGATCAACACGATTGAGTGAGTACAGGAAGTAAAATAATGCTGATATTGACTAGATAGAATGAAACTACCCCTCAAATAACAAATATAAAAACGAAGTAACCGGCACCTTTCACCCTTGAATTACATGAGTATGATACGTTGCACCCTTAAATTGAAACAATAGAACGTTGCACCTTCCAGTTACAAATTATTTGGCACTTTGCACCCTTCAATTACAAATTCTTTGACACTTTGCACCCTCTTTACCTTTGGCTGAAAAAAATGAGGAGCAACCGGTTTTGTGAGACATGAAAAAGGGTATATTTGTCTTTTCTTATTTCTTAGTAAGTTAAAAACGTTGACAACTCTGTTCTTCATTTTGCACATTTTTTTCCCATCGGTTAACTTCTTTTCTTCCGAAAATCCATGGAAAAAAGGAAACCTGGTCCTGATTTACTGTTCTTCTTCAGTTCTTCTCCCATTCGAGCGACTATTCT